GTAACCATCGTTATGCGGGTTAGGCCACCTCATACGCATCGCCTCCTCGAATTCCACCGGCAGTCTCTGACGGCGAGTGTAACCGCAGAGGTTCGCGAACTCCCTGTACCCTGCGAATCTGTTAGCCGCCGCGTCCAATTGATCGTTTCCAACAAGGATATGCAAAAACTGCTCATTGCGGTCCTCCTCACCGACAATCTGTACTGCGGTCTCAACCAAAAACGCAGGATGCGGCCATGTTGCTCGTATTTCATCCCCGTTCATTTGCTGGGGAGGAGGTCGTGGGCGACGTGCCGCGATGACTGTTGGCCCAAGCCCGGGGCCCCCTCGACCACGCACAACTCTACGTCTTGGTCGACGGCCATACACCATGTCCCCATCATCTTCATTGATGGGTGCTTGAGGTTGGGGCTGCTCCATTGTAGTGTCGTGTCGTGAGTATCTGCAACAGATGCGGTGGAAGTCAGTGTCGGTGCGCGGAACATGGGAAACAAATATCCGTAAAAAGGTTCGATCTTACAGATAGAGTATAGCGGACAAACGACAAGCCTCCACACACCGTTTTGAGGCTTCAACTTTGACATTACAGTTCCAACATCGTCGAGGTTGTTATTTTCGAGCATTAGGCTTTCATCTAGATCCACGAGTCCAAGTTCGAGGGTCCGGGACAACGACGGAACTGTTTTTGTTTCTTCGACTTTTGAGAATTTCGTCCTTCGCAGCCAACAGAGTTAAGATCCTCGTCATGACCCGAACCCCGACACGACACGGAAACATACGACCCTGGGTTGTCCCGGGATATACTGACTGAGTCGGGCGCTTGAGTCGTGCTTCCTGATAGGGAGGCCGCAGCTTATGGCAAAGAGAAACCGAGTTGGACTTCAGTGCAGCCATGAATGTCGCGGCCCAGCACAAGGAACGGAGTCGAATGGTTAGTGGAATCCACACGTGGCTTGCCCTCCTCGCACAACAGTCGTTGCTCACGTATTGTGCAAAGAGCCTTCCGGTTATCCAATTCCATTTTTTTTTTACTCAGGAGGACACAATTGTTTGCACTCGGGAATACAATGTCGATAGCACACCACGTGTGTTGTTGAGGTCGTTTGTCACAGCCTCTATATGTTTATCTATGTCGTCCAGGTCATATTTGCCTTCATTCCCTTCTACAATTGACTTGTCAAGGTCGTCCGTTATGCATGGTGGCAGACGTCACATATGCTCACGGAGCGAAAACTTTTTTCCGTCATCATGAGGATTCATGACACAACCACAGACTGAGCGACGTGACATCTGGAAACACAAAACAAAAAACAAGAGTCGTTAACACATCACACATTATGGGTCGAGGATGACGTTGCGCACCGTTCATGCACGATATATATACATATATATACATATATTTATATATATATATATATATATATATATCACAGCCCCTCGTTTCTTGTCCTCTTCTCTCTCTCTGCCTACGGTTTACCGGACAATTCTGTTTGTGATGATATATATATATATATATCACAGCCCCTCGTTTCTTGTCCTCTTCTCTCTTTCTGCCTACTGTTTACCGGACAATTCTGTTTGTGACGATATATATATGTATATATATATATATATATTTTGATTTTGGTTAAGGTAGACTATCATTCACAGTGTAATCAGTGAGGGGATTCTGCAGACTGTTGAGGGTTCAGCGTCCTGATGAGTCGGTGAAACTCCGACGAAACAGTTTGTCACAGCCCCTCGTTTGTTATCCTCTTCTCTCTCTCTACCTACGGTTTACCGGGCAGTTTTGTTTGTGACGATATATATGTATATATATATACAGGGTAACCGGCGTTCGGGACGGGCCGAATGCCCGAACCCGAACGCCCGAACGTATGGGACCCCTTGGGGATGCGT